CAAAGAGCAACAAAATGATAGACAAAATCATTCCTATTTGTTTTTGAGACCCTCCGAGCATACTTCCATCCGGGATCATTAGAATTTGGGCCATCTTCCCCTTCTAAATTTGTAGATCCTTAAGTATTTGACAAATTAACTTGCGCAGTAGAAAGAAGAAAACCAGGTAGAGAAAAAATAAAGTAAGAAGAGACGGGAAGGAGAGCAGATATCACCTGCTTGACTGCTTCTGACTTCTGCCACTTGCGAGACGGGAGAAAGAGACGGGAAGGTGTGCCGCGGTTTGGAGGACTTGCGAGACTGGAGGAAGAGACGGGAAGAGTCGCACTCAAAGAAAAAGAAGAAGGCGTCGTTCCTTGGGGGTCGTAAAAGTTGGGAGGGTTTAGTCGTGTAATCTCGTTGGGGGTCGTAAAAATTGGGAGGGTTCAGTCGTAATAAATAAAGCTAATCCCTAAACCTAATTTTAAAAAAAAACAGTAAGCAGATGTTCACAAGGCGCGCTTTTTTGCGCATCAAGGCACTGCGCATAATGCACAGAGGCGCAGTGAGGCGCGCGCCTCATGAACTGCGCGTGCATCAGGACTGACGATGCACTCCCCCTGGCGCTTCGTGCGCATCGCGCCTCAGGCGCGCCTCAAGCGCGCTTTTCACAACTATGCTAACAAAATAGTTTGACAAGACTCAATCAAGCAAAGCCACAAGTGAGCCAATTCATACTCAACTAAATCTCGACTTCTGTGTACTATCGCCAATTGCAGAATGACAATTTGGTTCAGAATTAAACAAATAGAAGTGCACTCCAAATCAATTGAGCTTAGCCAAATATCCTTTAAGAGAAATGATCAAACACCTTTGGATAATCAGACTTTTAAAATGAATTTCTCGGTTTCATCCACAATTATCACGCATATGTTTCACCTTATGGTTAGAACTACTCACATGCTGAATTTGACAAACTGGCATACACAAGAACATGTTTTAAACCAAATAATTGAAATTTTTATTGAAGAATTCGAACTATTAAAACCACAACTGAAAACTAATGGCTAATATCTACACAAATAAAAGAAAGAGAAAAGGTTTTCTTGTTAGGAACTAGGGATTTACCCTTAAAGCAACTCTCTCTCTCTCTGCTATCTGCGTCTCTCGCCTCGTATCTCCCTGCCGTCGTCTTGCGCCTGCCTAATCTTACAGAACTTCTTGGAGTCTTCGCGATTTCTCCCCGGCCTTCTCGATTGTGCTAGTGCGAAACTAAGCCTGTCTCTCCGATTCGAACGTCTACTCTTGCTAGGGCGCTAGGGTTAGCGAACCCTCAAATCTCAAACCTCTCTTCTTCGCTTTGGCTAGCAGAGAGGGAATGGGCCTGCCTGCCCCCTTAAAGGGCTCAATTCTCATTTTAATAATAAGATCTGATCTGATCTTATCTTATCTGATTAGATCTTATCTGATCTGATTGGATCTGATCTAATTGGATCTGATCTGATCTAGTTGGATCTGATCTGATCTAATTAATTATGATTTAATTTAAAATTTCAAATTGATAATTTGATTTGACTTTATTATAACGTTTGAAAATTGTAATGATAATTTATATTATAATATAATCAATATTTTTTATTTAATAATTATTTTTTAATAAAATAAAAATAGTTCATTCATATATTAGAATAATCATTCATATGATAATGTAATAATATTTTTTATTTTATGATTATTTTTTTGTGAAATTAGAATATTAATTTAATATTTTAATAATTACTTCATATGTACATTAGAATAAATATTTAATTTATATATACATTAAAAAGTAATTAAATTTAGACAATCAATATATAGAAGAGATAGTATTTTTATTAAAATATCTCATCCTTATAAAAGATCAAAACTTTAGATATTCAAATTACAAGTAACAATAAAAATATATTTTAAAAGTAGAATTAGATTGACATTGTCAATGTATTTTAAAACTAATTTTTCCGGAGTTTAATAATTAAGGATTACTTTCTCAATTTTCTATTTAACCTATTTCTAAAGTTTATTTTTTTCATTTTTAAGAACAATAATAATAATAATAATAATTATGATAATAAGAATAAGAATAATAAAAATAATAATAATAATAATAATTCTTGATGGGATCTGATTTAAATAAGTCCTGATCTGATCTGATTGGATATGATCTAATTGGATCTGATCTGATCTGATTGGATTTGATCTGATGCGATCTGACCTGATCTGATCTGATTTGATTTTAATGAGAATAAGAAAAAATAAATTGAACGGAACAAGGCCTCAGTTGACTTTACGGGGTAAGGGGGGGGGGGGGAATCTCGTTTCTTACA